CCCCAACAGCCTCCCCAGCCCCTCCTGGGGATGGAAAGGGTTAAGGGGGACAGGGGTGCCCCTGGTCCCTACAGTCTGCTCTCAGGAGCTGTGGATGCCGATGCTTATTGTTTTAAATAGAACTTTTTTTGGGGGGAAAGAACAAGTTGATTCACACGATCTGTGTGGGGACCAAGCTGCAGCTGTAGCCTCATTGTGCCACATGGCAAATGCATTTTGTGACTATTGTCTGTGGTTCTGCGTGCTGCGTTGGCTGGAGTAATGCAGAGGTAGGAAAAAGGACCTTGAGGGCGCGAGGGAAGGCCATGCAGTGTCACTGGGAGGCATTTTTTCCCCCAGCCCTCCCTCCAAGTAGTGTCATCAGGTCTTTTAGTCTCCTGACTGGGCAACAAGCAGCTCTGGACCCCCCTTGGACGGAGCTGCGCTTTCCCCAGGTGCGTGACACCCAGGAGGAGACTGTACCCGCCACTGCATGTCCCAGAAAAAAAAAGACTGGATTCTGCACAACATCCGATGACGAGATGCTGGGACTGTTTGTGCTCTACAGGACCCCAGAGACTGGGTTAGTACATCCCCAGTACTTGGAGGATTTGGCACTACCAAGGACATCCTGGTGGGAACAGAGGCCTCTCACTCCCACTATGTGAACAGTACGTGGCGTGGGGGAGTTGGGGCAAGTCCTGCCGTGAACTGGAGGCCAAAGCTCTCTCCTGGCCTGTATCCTGTTAATTAAGCAGATCGCGCTCTGTTAGTGAGGCACCTCTGGCTGAAAGATTGTGCAAGGCCATCTGCAGCGCAACTTGTGGCAGGGACCGATGCTGGGGGAGTGAAGGCAACTGCGCTTCTAAAAACATAAAACTTTATTTCGTTTTGGAGCGCAGCTAAGCAACCCTGCTCCTCGACTCACACTCTCCTAACGCCTCCTCTTGACTCGATGCCATGGGAAAGGGCCTCATCAGCTCTACTTGTAGGAATTTGCCTTGTGTTTAGGCAGGAAGGTGAAGCTGGTAGGTACGGGTCCCAGAAGGAGCTCACTGGAAAGAAAGAAAGAAAAGAAAGAAAAGAAAGAAAAGAAAGAAACGAAAGAAAAGAAAGAAAAGAAAGAAAAGAAAGAAAAGAAAGAAAAGAAAGAAAAGAAAGAAAAGAAAGAAAAGAAAGAAAAGAAAGAAAAGAAAGAAAAGAAAGAAAAGAAAGAAAAGAAAGAAAAGAAAGAAAAGAAAGAAAAGAAAGAAAAGAAAGAAAAGAAAGAAAAGAAAGAAAAGAAAGAAAAGAAAGAAAAGAAAGAAAAGAAAGAAAAGAAAGAAAAGAAAGAAAAGAAAGAAAAGAAAGAAAAGAAAGAAAAGAAAGAAAAGAAAGAAAAGAAAGAAAAGAAAGAAAAGAAAGAAAAGAAAGAAAAGAAAGAAAAGAAAGAAAAGAAAGAAAAGAAAGAAAAGAAAGAAAAGAAAGAAAAGAAAGAAAAGAAAGAAAAGAAAGAAAAGAAAGAAAAGAAAGAAAAGAAAGAAAAGAAAGAAAAGAAAGAAAAGAAAGAAAAGAAAGAAAAGAAAGAAAAGAAAGAAAAGAAAGAAAAGAAAGAAAAGAAAGAAAAGAAAGAAAAGAAAGAAAAGAAAGAAAAGAAAGAAAAGAAAGAAAAGAAAGAAAAGAAAGAAAAGAAAGAAAAGAAAGAAAAGAAAGAAAAGAAAGAAAAGAAAGAAAAGAAAGAAAAGAAAGAAAAGAAAGAAAAGAAAGAAAAGAAAGAAAAGAAAGAAAAGAAAGAAAAGAAAGAAAAGAAAGAAAAGAAAGAAAAGAAAGAAAAGAAAGAAAAGAAAGAAAAGAAAGAAAAGAAAGAAAAGAAAGAAAAGAAAGAAAAGAAAGAAAAGAAAAGAAAGAAAGAAAGAAAGAAAGAAAGAAAGAAAGAAAGAAAGAAAGAAAGAAAGAAAGAAAGAAAGAAAGAAAGAAAGAAAGAAAGAAAGAAAGAAAGAAAGAAAGAAAGAAAGAAAGAAAGAAAGAAAGAAAGAAAGAAAGAAAGAAAGAAAGAAAGAAAGAAAGAAAGAAAGAAAGAAAGAAAGAAAGAAAGAAAGAAAGAAAGAAAGAAAGAAAGAAAGAAAGAAAGAAAGAAAGAAAGAAAGAAAGAAAGAAAGAAAGAAAAGAAAAGAAAGAAAGAAAAGAACAAAACCAAAATTAAAAAAAAAACAAAACCAAAATGAAAAACAAAACGAAAAACAAAACAAGGAGATTTTTGTGTTCGGTACGGCAGAGCCACCAGTACCCGGCTGTTGCATGGCCCTGTGGCTCTACAGCGATGGTGACTGCTGCAGTCAGATGTGTCAAACCAAACCTCTACCCTCCCAAAAATTTAGGGCTGCTGCACAAAACCACCTCTGGTGCTGAGCTTTAACCCTGAACCACAGTACTGGAGGGGTGCCGGTTAAGGGCAATGTCCTTCTTGCTGGGGAGTCGCTGAGAGTCGATGCCAAAATGGGTTCCTAAGTTTGGTGACCTGAATACCAGCCTCACTGCTGGCAATGACATGCCTAAAATGAACATGAGCCTCTGAAAAGCTCCTCCCCACCTCTCGCTGTGCTTGTGCAGAGCCAAAACCCTGTTAGCGCCAAAAAGTATTAAGGTCAGATCCTAAAATGATGTAAGCCAGTTCTATTGCGATCAGATTTACCCTAGCTTAAGACTTCAACTATTTCACACTTTGGAACACACATTGTATTTTCAGTGCAGAATAATTTTCTTTATAGTCAAGGAGGCTTAACTTATTTCCTGGATGCCGGTTCAGTACAGCATCACTAAAACTTTCCATAAGACATGTCAGAGAGAGTATCCCAGCAGGGCATAGAATTGCATAGCAAGAGCCTGAATCTATAGCACAAAAGCAGAAATGGAGTGTGCTCAGAGAACCCTGCTTCTGGTTAGCATCTCCCTAAAATGAGCTTTAATGAATAAACCTAAACTACTTTAAAATTCTGAGTCCTTATGGTGATAAACATCTATTACATGGCACTGCAAAGATCCCTGGTTACAAAGGTTTGTGCAGCCTAATGCAGGCCAGTTCCCCTTGAAAAATAGCATTTAAAAATTCTGATCAAAACTTGATGTAACATGGTTTTTAGGCAGCCGTTCCCAGTACTAACAAAATGCATGAGGATTACCAAAACCAGAGAAGGATGTAGCCATGCTCTATTTTTGCTAACCTCTGTTTCCACGAGATGCGAAATAGCAGCTGGCTGCTCCAGCTCTCATTTTTGCAAGCTCAAAGCCAGCTAAGTCATTTCGAGCCCATGCCTGAGGACTCGTAGATGGGGGAGAAAAACATTTTCCTGCACTTTGTTGCATCAACTCAGAAATCAGATAATGAAAAATGGGGAAAACGCTCAGCTATCCTAACTTGGGGATGGGGACTGCCTTCCTGCTTGGCATCTGTATGGGCCTGGCAGGGTGGGACTGTCCAGGCAGAGCACGGAGGGATTCGATGCTGAAAGCCTGAGACGTCCCATCGTTGCGCTCTCCTCTGTCGGCTCCTGCAAGTGTCCTGGGATGAACAGCATGTCATGAGAGAGGTCAACTATTCTCGGTTTGCAGCGGGTACTGGATGACCAGCTGAAGCAGACACAGGGATTGAGAGCGCTCTTTATAGTAACTCCAAGGTCAGTTAAACCCTCAAAGTAAAGCACTGGTTAACCCTTGCTGCTTTCTTACAACCTCTTAAACTGATGGGAAAGAGTCGTCACCCGCTCTGTGGAGGATACACGCAGGCAGTGACTTTGTGCAGCTCTGTGATGTCCCTTCCTAGCAATTTAAATGAAATTCAATGCTTTATTACCTAATTTTAATCCAATCATCCACGTTTTGGCTTGCCATCAGCGTCTCTAGATAGTCTCTCCCCATGTAGTAAGGTGGCCGCTCATTAATTTTCTGAGGTAGGTGTTCTAATAAGCCAACTGGAATATACCTGCAATGAAATGTAATGGCAGTGTGTGCTATTATTCAAACGGTACAGGCTTGCTGCATATTAAAGACCCTCTCGGCTGGGGAGAATTACCTGCACAGGAACGAGAGCCATTCCAGCAGGAACTTCCTGGTCTTCTCCACTCCCTGAGTATCTGACCCCCAGTGCTCAAGGCCATAGTTGGTGAAGTCTTTGAGGATATCAAATCTCTCACTGGAGGAGATATCCCAGTGTCTCTGTTCCTTAATTTCAGTGAAAATCCATGGTTTGATGAGTGCCCCTCTGTAGCCAAAAAAAATGTGCATTGTTATTCCCATGACTGATCCTTCTGAAGATGCCAACTAATTTAAGAGACTTTCCAGCACTTATTTGCCAGCCAATGCTGCTTTAATTTTTTTTTTTTTCAATTTCAACAGGAAGCTGCAGTAAGTTCCCACAGATGCAAACAGATTTTACCAATTTTCAGAGTAGTTTCACCAAGGGGAAACTTCTCATGTTTTGGGTCTAGGTATTTTTTTAATTCCTTTTTTACTCTTGCACCAACAGAGCTCAGAAGCTAAAGGGAAACAGGCACTTGCCTTGCAATCATAATTCCTGAAACGCCCATCTGCATGGCTCGATTAGCATCTTCGTAAGACAAAATATCACCGTTTCCTGTCCAGAAGGAGAAGCCAGAGGTCAAAGTGATACACGAGGGCAAGTCAAAATGAGTTAATCCAGGCATGGGATAAAATTCAAAATGGAGACAGGCTCCAAGAGCCAGATTGTCCAAACAGGCTCTAGAGCTCCTGTTTAGAGATTCCCAGGGATGTTTCTGATTAATGTTCCCCTTACAGGAAAAGGAGAGCCTTCTCTCTTCTCCACTCCCAACAACTACCCTGAAGGTTTAGCTGGGACTGTCTGTGCCACAGTGCCCAAGGGGGAAAGCACCTGCTAAAAAACAAGTGTTCTGTGTCCTGCCTGTCCCTTCTCCTCCTGCTCTGCTCAGTGCTCGTCACACCTGGCCCCAAGCACACGGGCAGATCTGGGCTGCACAAGAGCTGCTGGTAACTCACTCTGTTGTGTTATCAACAGCAGTAGGGATACTCCAACCTTTCCCCCGGGCTGAATGTCCTTGGGAGCCTGTTTTTTTCTTTTTAAAAGACACTTCAAATCTAACATGCAGCACCTTCAGTCCACATGACAAAACAACAGAAACACCTACCAAAAAGAGGCATGGGGCTTGCTATTTTAGCACATTCTGCTATGTAGTCCCAGTCAGCACCCCTTGTGTACCGCTGTTCCCTGGATCGGCCGTGAAGCTGGGGAAGAAAGTCACAGTGAGACCTCACTGAATGCCCTGGAGGAGGCAGGGCAGGAGTGCTGGAGGAAGGTGCTTCAGCAACAGCAATGACACCAGGCTGGGGTAAAGGATCCCTCTGGATCTACAGCCCAGCCAGCTGTTAACAGACCAGGCTGTGGAAGTGGTTAGCAGAGCTGAGAAAGGGCTGGATGCTTTCTGAGTAATGTTTTGGCTATTTGCAAGCCAGAGGAAGAAGTGACTGTTCACAGTGAAAGGGAATATTCACTGTGGGCAGGAACTACGCATCTCCACGTAAATGAGATGCTCCCATTGCTTCCCCAGCCCTGCTATAACAAGGCTTATTTGGCTGAAACCTCTGTTCCGGAGCACTGCAGGAACCATCTCCCTTTGTAATGGATACAAGGCTCAGGAGCACCCAGGAAAATGTTCTCTGCATCTGAAATTTTCTCTGTTATTAAGCAGAAAACACTAAAAGGTAGTACGCAGCTGGTCAAAGGCGTTTGAAAGAGCTGCTGAGCTGTGAGGAAGAGTAAGGTCACCCCCACATCATGCTCTAGGCCGACACGCAAGCAGAGCTCCCCAGACACCAGCCAACAATGTCACGCCACAACAAATATCCCTATACCGTGACCATGGATGCTCCCCACTCCCGGATCTTGGGGATAATTTTATGAGCCACATTAATCTTTTCTTGCACCCCTGTCCGTATCTTCACAGTCAGTGGGACATCCAGCACCTGCAGAAATGGGAGAGCAAGGCCAGACTGAGGCAGGAGTCGGCTCCATCAGCTCATCTCCCACTGCCAGCAGGTGCTCTCACTCACCGAATTCATCCCTCGGACAATCTGTTCAAACTTGTTGGATCGAGTCATCAGAGCACAGCCTCCTCCCTTGGGGACAAAAAGTGGCATAGTCAAGACCTTCTGCCTCCTTGCATAGCGAAGAGCCCCCTTGGAGCTGCTCAAGAGCAGCCCTGCACTCAGGGGATGCAGGTAAGACTTGGAGCATCTCAAGACTTGGAGAAATGCGACTCTCACAATAAAAAAAAAAGCCCTTTTCCCTCCCAACTTCTGCCTGCTGCTAAGGAGAGACAGCTAACCATTCCCTGCTTTTTGAAGAGCTTATTTGCCTTCTCGCTGAAGTCTAGTGCCCATAAATGAACTGGAAGCTCTGGATCAGACTGGCAGGCAAAACACAGGCATCTATTGAAGGAAGCAAAATGTGGTGCAGCATGTCTTCTTACCTTCTTGTAGACCAGGTCAATGGGACACCCAACATTGATGTCTACAAAGTCCACTTCAATTGTCTGATTCAAGAGCTCTGCACATTTGGTCATCGTGTCTGGAAATGCTCCCTCCAGCTACCACAAGGGGACAGGTTGCATGAGTTCAAGAAGCAGCTTTTCTCCTCAGAAGTGAGTTATCATTTATTTGGTTATCAAGATGATAGCACTCACCTGCACCCCAAAAATATCTTCGGTATGATGCCGTTTGAGGAGAGCCCACTCGGAGGACTGGCCCTGAAGCAGGTTTGTGCACACTGCCATCTCTCCACAGGTGACGTCTGCCCTGAAGCGCTTGCATATCCTTCGGAAAGGGAGGTTACCACACTGAGAGAGACAGCGGAGAGATGGTTTGCAAGGAGATTTGCTCTGTTCCAAATGTGGCAACGGCAACTTTTGACAAAAGGAGAGAATTATCCACCTACCGTGGTCAGTGGAGCCAAGTAGAGTTTGCCTTGAATTTCCAACTGGAAAACAACAAGGATGGAGGAGTATGTCAGCAGAGCTGAAACAGCAGCGGTTAAACAGGAAGATATTCCAGTGCACAAATTTATCACTTGTCTTGGGTAAAACTCAGTGGGAAGCCCAGGAAATCACTGGTTTTGTTCAAGAACCTCAACTGTTCCAAAAGAATGTATTGTTTGGATAAAAGAACCAGAAACTTGAACCGCTGAATTTGTTTTCACTGCTCAGCTTGGGGAAAACTCGAAGCAGTTACAGATATAGAGGGATGCAAGACTGGCTAATGGAAGCAAGGATGGAGGTGACGAGGAGGAGAGGGAGGCAATGCTCTCACCCCAGGAGAGCACCATGCAGTACAGACAAACCAACCAGCCCCAGCCTCGGCTCTCCTTGCAGAACATTTCCACCCTCACTAACAACTCAGCCCCTGCTCTCCTTCACGTGCAAAGAGCTGCAGCTTCTCTTGGTTCTCACACCTCCAAGGACAACACCACAGCCCCAGGAGCTCACCTTCGTGCATCCTTCCTCTCATGACAGCAACGCAGTCCCCAGGCAGCTCCATCCTCTGCCTGCCTCTCACCCAGCTAAGAGGTCTCTTCTTTCTTTCCAAGCACAATCTCAACCACTTGACAGGTACACAAGAAACGGCAGCCCTCAACCAAACTCTCACTGCTCACCTTCTTCTTCTCACATGACCGCAGCTTTATAATATCTTCATCTGTCACCACGCCCACTGTTTTGATGGAGGAAGGCTCTTCGCCAGCTGTGGGGCCAGGATTCTGCAAGGCATCTGGTTTGGGATCTTCTCCCTGCTCCAGTAGCACAGGACATTCGGGGCTGCCTCCCAGGACCTCCTGGGGTGTTGTGCAGTTGGACATCTCTTGCTCCTCTGTAGAGCACCCTGTGGCTTTGCCTCCCTTCCCACCACCACCATGGGGCTTGGCCAGACCACGGAGGTACTCATCAGCCTTCTTGAAGCTAAACTTCTTCTTGCGCAGCTGGTGCTGGAGGTCCTTGGAGAGGTTGTTCCTCACCAGTGACTTCCCTTCCCACTGCTTGGCCAAGTCCATGTTGACAATGTTCTGGTAGCCATCCCCAAGGTGGGCCTGGGCAAAGCGGCAGGTGACACCGTAAATGCACTTGCCAAAGGTTTCGAAGAGCACACAGCTGCGCCCCAGGTCGGCCGGCTTCGTGGCCATGTACTCGCTGATGTCATGAAGGAAGCAGCACCGCGGGCCGAAGTAGCACTTCTCTGCACACCCCTTAAAACAGTAAAAAGGAGGTTAAAACCTCTGCCCTCCATTTGCCCGCCTGGGCATGCCAGTACCTTTCAGCACAAGCAAGGCGAGCCTGGGTCTGCCCTGGCCAAGAGAGGGGCCAGAACTGCTCTGAGCACCCATCACTCCCCGGGTGATGTCAGGTGCCCCATGAAACACTCCCAGGAAGCTGACTGCTGGAACATGCCACAGAAGGGCAGTGACATACCCACCTGAAGGGACATTTTAGCACTACTGCTTCAGGGAAGCTGACATTTTATTTGTCCCACTCAGCTTCACCCTCTCCTAGTCAGCGAACGGAGCTGGTTTTGCCAACACAGCCCCCTGCTATGCTCTCCCTGCTGGGCGTTTGCCCTGGTGCAGCTCTATCTTCAATATGCTTTCCTAGACTTAAAAATAAATGCAGCTCTTGAACAGAAGAGCCCACCAGGGTCCCAAATTCCCTGCCCCAGAGCAGCGTGGAGCAAGGCCCCCACACCCTACCTGCGTTACAGATGGACACAGCCTGCTCTGCTCGTAGTGGTTGGGTTTCATACACGGCCTGCTCTTATTCTGCCCCCGGGCCCGCTTCCGCTCTGTGGGCTCCTTCTCCACTGCTCCAACATCCTCTTGGCTTTCCTCATCCTGACCAAGGTCCTCTGACCTCACCCGTTTGGTGGGGGGCTCACTCTGGCAGCTGCAGACCTCCTTCTTCTCCTGGACCTCCTCCTCGCCCTCACTGCCTGCCTGCCTTCTTCTCCGGGCCCTCCTCCTCGCCCTCCCTGCCTGCCTGGCCGCTGGGCTCGCCCCTGGCCCGCAGGTACGCATGGAACTGCTCCTTAGAGGTGAGGAACCTGCAGAGACACAGCACCCGTGTCACCCCAGCGATGGTGGGGAGCAGGGTGCCCGGGGTAGACAGGGGAGGGAGGGCTGCCTGAGAGGAGGGGGGGCTG